TAACCCTCTGACAAGGCTGTTTTTAACCCACCCCGGGTTTTTCGTTTTAATTTTGTTTGTTTTTTTTTAAAAGGGGGAAACTTTCGTAATTTTCCCCTTTTTGGGTAAAAAGCAAAAAACTTTTTTTTTCGGGAAAAAACCCTAAAAACCAACCCCCCCAGTGGGAAAAATAGGGGGGGCCATTTGGGACACTAAGAGAAAACCCAATAAGTGTCCACCAGCCATAAGGGGAATTACCAATAGACCCCTGGTTTTCTTCAAGAGGGTACTAGACAGATATCTAAAGCCAGTGTCGGATCAGCCGGGCTGTGGTTCGTACGTGCGGCCAGCTGTAACAGCCTCGTTGATCAGGCCCTGATCCACCAGGAGGCCTGGTCATGGACCGGACCGCGGGGGCGTTGATCCCTGGAATACCCTTCAAGTAGATAGACGCGGCTTCGGTGGGATACGACCTGTTTGTTGAAAGAAGAAGAATATTATTACGGTTTCTGCAAACCAAATGATCCGTCAACTCAGTCATTCATTATAAAGAAACAAAAACTAGAAGGTAAGTGATAATACAAAACTTATTCACCTAAACATATCCTTATATCAGCTATGTAACTTCTATACTCTTGTTGTAGCCACCACATCCAATCTTGTAGGAAGACGCCAAGTGCAGAACAAGGTTTAATTGGGAGTAAGTTCGGCTCTGTGCAGAGCTGCTTCATTGCACCGCATTCCATCTTATCTAAAACACATACACACAGTAGCTGAATCTCGACCCCTGCAATCACAATTAGGTGAGTACACACACACACACACAACAATAACAAGTAACAGTAACAAGGGGACACAGTTGGAAGCTGAAGACACAGATGAATCACAGGGATGTTAGGAAGTATTTCTTCAGCCACAGAGTAGTCAGTAAGTGGAATAGTTTGGGAAGCGATGTAGTGGAGGCAGGATCCATACATAGCTTTAAGCAGAGGTATGATAAAGCTCACGGCTCAAGGAGAGTGACCTAGTAGCGATCAGTGAAGAGGCGGGGCCAGGAGCTCGGACTCGACCCCCGCAACCTCAACTAGGTGAGTACAACTAGGTGAGTACACACACACCACACGCACACACACACACACCCCACCCCACACACACACACACACACACACCCCACATACACCACCCCACACCCACACACACACACACACACACACACACATACACACACCACACACACACAAAACACACACACACACACACACACACACACTACACACACACACACACACACACACACAACAAAACCACAAACACACACAATGAAAGAGAGAGTACAAAAACGAAAGGAAGAAAATGGGAGGAAATGAAAAAGGAGAGCAGAATAACCCAGGATCAAATGGAAGGACAAGCGCACCACCCAGAAACACCTGCAGAAGGACCCCAGCCACACACCCCCAAGGCAACTGAACAATCCAAACCAACCATAAACACACCGATCCCTCTGTTTCCCCCCCCCGCACCACAGTTACCAGTATTAGAACAGAAGTTGAAGGTTTGGTACACAAATGCAGATGGATTAACAAAATAAACATGAGGAATGGCAAAAAAGAATCAATAGAAGTCCCCAGACATCATAGCAGTTACAGAAACAAAACTCATGGAGACAATAACAGATGCAATCTTCCCACCAGGATACCAGATCATGAGGAAAGATAGAAGGGGCAGGGGGGGAGGGGGGGGGTTGCTCTGCTCGTAAAAAACAGATGGAATTCGAGAAAATGGAAGGAATAGATGAGACGGGAGAAAGAAGACTACATAGCGGGTACACTTCAGCTGGGGAACACAAAGTGGTCATTGCATGATGTATAATCCACCACAGAACTGCAGGAGGCCAAGAGAGGAATATGAAGAGAGCAACAGAGCAATGGTGGACACACTTGCTGAGGTGGCAAGAAGAGCTCACTCCAGCAGAGCAAAGTTGCTGTTATGGGGGATTTCAACCACAGGGAGATTGACTGGGAAAACCTGGAGCCACATGGGGGTCCCGAAACATGGAGAGCCAGGATGTTGGACGTGGTGCTGGAAAACCTCATGCACCAACATGTTAAGGACACTACGAGTGAGAGGGGAGGATGAACCAGCAAGATTGGACCTTGTGTTCACCCTGGGCAGCTCAGACATTGAGGAAAACAAGTAGAGAGTCCCCTGGGAGCTAGCGCCACGTGGTTCTGTGCTTTGAATACATAGTAGAGCTGCAAGTGGAGAGAAAAAACAGGAGTAGAATGGGAAAAGCCTGACTATAAAAGAGGGACTACATAGGGTTGAAGAACTTCCTGCGGGAGGTCCAGTGGGACAGAGAACTGGCAGGAAAGCCAGTAAATGAAATGATGGAATATGTAGCAACAAATGCAAGGAGGCAGTGGAAATTTCATTCCCAAGGGCAACAGTAACAACAGGAAACCAAAAACGAGCCCCGGGTTTTAAACCCGACGGGTAAGGAGGCAAAAACAAAGTGCAATAGAGAATGGAAAAAGTACAGAAGGCAGAGAACACACCGAAAATAGGGAGATCAGTCGCAGAGCCGGGAATGAGTACGCACAGGTAAGGAGGGAGGCCCAGCGACAGTATGAAAATGAATAGCATCGAGAATCAAGACTGACCCGAAACTGTTGTATAGCCACATCAGGAGGAAGACAACAGTCAAAAACCAGGTGATCAGATTTAAGGACAGAAGGTGGAGGGAAATCACAAGAAATGATCAGGAGGTATGTGAGGGAGCTGAAAAGGGGATTTAAGGAAGTTTTTACAGTAGAGACAGGGAAAGGGGTGTGGGAAGACAGCACAGAGGGAACATCAAAGGGAATATACCAACAAGTGTTGGATGACATACGAACAACTGAGGAGGAGGTGAAGAAGCTCTTAAGTGACCTTGACACCTCAAAGGCGATGGGACCGGACAAACATCTCCCCATGGTCCTAGAGAAGGAGCAGAGTGCTGTGTGTGCCTCTAACCACAATCTTCAACACATCCCTTGAAACTGGGCAACTACCTGAGAAATGGAAGACAGCTAATGTAGTCCCCATATTTAAGAAAGGAAACAGAAACGAGGCACTAAACTACAGACCTGTGTCTTGACATGTATGTGGCAAAGTCATGGAGAAGATTATCAGGAGGAGGAGTGGTCGAACACCTGGAAAAGGGAAAAAGATTATAAAAAGAAAACCAGCATGGGTTCATGGAAGGCAAATCTTGTATCACAATCCTCCTGGAGTTTTATTGACAAGGGAACAGAAGTAAGACACGAGAGAGAGGGGTGGGTAGATTGCGTTTTCCTAGACTGCAGGAAGGCCTTTGACACAGTTCCCCACAAGAGTTAGTGCAGAAGCTGGAGGATCAGGCACACGTAAAAGGAAGGGCACTGCAATGGATAAGGGAATACCCGGGCAAAGGGGGCAGCAACGAGTCATGGTACGTTTAAGAGGTATCACAATGGGCGCCTGTTACGAGCGGGGTCCCACAGGGTCAGTTTAGGACCAGTGCTATTTTTGATATTGTGAACGACATGATGGAAGGAATAGACTCTGAAGTGTCCCTGTTCGCAGATGACGTGAAGTTGATGAGAAGAAAATTTAAAACGGACGAGGATGAGGCAGGACTGCAAAGAGACCTGGAGAGGCTGGACATGTGGTCCAGTAAACTGGCTTCTCGAATTCAATCCAGCCAAATGCAAAGTCATGAAGATTGGGGAGGGGCAAAGAAGACCGCAGACAGAGTAATAGGCTAGGTGGACAAAGACTACAGACCTCACTCAGGGAGAAAGACCTTGGGGGGACCATAACACCAGCAACATCACAGGGGGGCACACATCAACCCAAATAACTGCGCAGCATACGGGCGCCTGGCAAACCTGAGAACAGCGTTTCCGATACCTTAATAAGGAATCGTTCAAGACACTGTAACACTGTGTATGTTAGGCCATACTGGAGTATGCAGCACCAGTCTGGAACCCACACCTGGTCAAGCACGTCAAGAAGTTAGAGAAAGTACAAAGGTTTGCAACAAGGCTAGTCCCAGAGCTCAAGGGAATGTCGTACGAGGAAAGGTTAAGGGAAATCGGACTGACGACACTGGAGGACAGAAGGTCAGGGGAGATATGATAACGACATACAAATACTGCGGGAATAGACAAAGGGGGACAGAGATAGGATGTTCCAGAAAAGGGGACACAGGGACAAGGGGTCACAACTGGAAGCTGAAGACTCAGACGAGTCACAGGGACGTTAGGAAGTATTTCTTCAGTCATAGAGTTGTCAGCAAGTGGAATAGCCTAGCAAGTGAAGTAGTGGAGGCAGGAACCATACATAGTTTTAAGAAGAGGTATGACAAAGCTCAGGAAGCAGAGAGAGAGAGGATCCAGTAGCGATCAGTGAAGAGGCGGGGCCAGGAGCTGAGTATCGACCCCTGCAACCACAAATAGGTGAGTACAATTGGGTGAGTACACACACCACACACACACACGTCTCCACTCGCTCTCCTAAAAATGAATGAATGACAATCACTCTTGTGATTAACATCAGCCAACATAGGAGGAGAATGAGGAGCAGTTAGGTTTGGTGTGGAGAATGCAAAAGCAACATCGTTACGTTGGGAAGCAATGACGTGACGGGACGTGACGTGACGTGACGTGACGAGTACGAAGTGTTTCACATGAGTACCTCTGGGGTTAAACAACTTTGCATGATTTTCTGATTTTTTTTTTTAAATTTTCATTATATCTTGATGTTGTTGGTTCCGTTATCACGTTTTCCTTCACTCTGTAAATAACCCATTTGGACAGAATTAGACACAGTGAATTACTATTCTCTCACAATTATTATTTTTCCTGGTGCGGGTAATGTGATTAATTTAAAACAAAAAATATGCGATAAGGTAAAAAATAATATCAATAATAAAGCATTTAAATAAATTAAAAAATATTAAGTACTCTAGGGAATAAAATATTACTTCTTCTTGTCACCAGGTCTGTTCCACGGCGTCATAGGTGAGAGCGGGTCCGCCCTGGAACACTGGGCTCACGACCCTGACCCTATTACCTCTGCCATTGTTATCGCAGAGGCCAACAACTGTTCAGTGAGCAGCCTGTCAGAAATCTATGAGTGCATGAAGACTAAGTCTGCCCTTGATTTGGCCATCAACATGGCTAATTTTGTGGTCAGTGTTTTGTTATTTTGATTATTTTTTTTTCGATATCAAAAAAATCATATGCATTTTCAGTGGTAGTATACCTTACAAAAAGGTGTTATTATGATTCCGTAAGTCATGAAGTAGTATCATACCTAAGACAGAGCTACTTTGAAACGAACTTAGGGAATAACAGCATTCAGCCTCTAAAACTGATTTGTGAAAAAAAGTGTGTTGATACCCAGTTGTATATGACAGTTACAAGTTGGGAATAAAAGTTAGCCATGGTTTCCTGTCATATTCTATCACGCAGGATGAGTTTATATAAAATATATATATATATTTATATATATATATATATATATATATTATATATATTATATATATATATTTATATATATTTATATATATATGTCGTGCCGATAGGGTAAAACTGGTCAATTAGCAAGAACTCTTTTAAAAATTTAAAGTTCCTTTCTAAAATTTTCTCTTATACGTTTAAAGAAATATTTTTTTCATTAAGTTAATGTAAAAAAATTTTATTTTGCATAAAAAGAATCTTAAAAAACTTACCTAACCTTTTATAACAAGAACAATTTATTTTAGCCTAACCTAAATAAATATATTTTAGATTTGTTTACAATAATTTAATACTAACAAACACAATGAAATATACTTTTTTCGTTAGGTTCAGAATGATTTTGGCGAAATTATTGCATACAAAAATTTTCGCTTGTCCTATATGGCAAGATGAGCGTTGCTATTTAAGCCAGATCGCAAGTTCCTGCCTATTCGGCACGACATATATATATATATATATTTATTATATTATATATATATATATATATATATATATATATATATATGAAATGTGTCGGCCTGAGGTGAGAGGCTTCAATGAGATCATTGAGGATATCGTCAAATATTCCAATAAACGTTCATCAGCTATTTCAGGAGCTTCAAGGTTTCCGCTGCCCCTGAAGAGAGGTTCCTTAATACTGGTGAGGGGGCTCTTGACCTAAGGAATTGGAGCTGTGCTCTAATTCCCTTTCAAATGCTGTATAATCCCTACGGGTTTAGCCCTCACCCATGACAACAATAATCAAGGAATACGTTGCAGCAGAATCTGACTTGCTAGTACTTGGTAATTACCATCTCTTATGATGACCTCTTATACGAACAGAAGAAGTGGAATTATGTGAATTTTCCCTCATTATCGCTCAGCAGCAAAACAAAAAGAAAATAAAAATAAAAGAAAACTATATAAGTGTACAGTATATACCTGTACGAAGGTACATAGATATATACGTACAGTATATTCAGTTATTAAATGGAGAGTTGGAGGTATTGGGAAGATGGAGGGAATATTTTGAGGAATTGTTAAATGTTGATGAAGATAGGGAAGCTGTGATTTCGTTTATAGGGCAAGGAGGAACAACATCTTGTAGGAGTGAGGAAGAGCCAGTTGTGAGTGTGGGGGAAGTTCGTGAGGCAGTAGGTAAAATGAAAGGGGGTAAGGCAGCCGGGATTGATGGGATAAAGATAGAAATGTTAAAAGCAGGTGAGGATATAGTTTTGGAGTGGTTGGTGCAATTATTTAATAAATGTATGGAAGAGGGTAAGGTACCTAGGGATTGGCAGAGAGCATGCATAGTTCCTTTGTATAAAGGCAAAGGGGACAGAAGAGAGTGCAAAAATTATAGGGGGATAAGTCTGTTGAGAATACCTGGTAAAGTGTATGGTAGAGTTATTATTGAAAGAATTAAGAGTAAGACGGAGAATAGGATAGCAGATGAACAAGGAGGCTTTAGGAAAGGTAGGTAGGGGGTGTGTGGACCAGGTGTTTACAGTGAAACATATAAGTGAACAGTATTTGGATAAGGCTAAAGAGGTCTTTGTGGCATTTATGGATTTGGAAAAGGCGTATGACAGGGTGGATAGGGGGGCAATGTGGCAGATGTTGCAGGTGTATGGTACAGGAGGTAGGTTACTGAAAGCAGTGAAGAGTTTTTACGAGGATAGTGAGGCTCAAGTTAGAGTATGTAGGAAAGAGGGAAATTATTTCCCAGTAAAAGTAGGCCTTAGACAAGGATGTGTGATGTCACCGTGGTTGTTTAATATATTTATAGATTGGGTTGTAAGAGAAGTAAATGCGAGGGTCTTGGCAAGAGGCGTGGAGTTAAAAGATAAAGAACCACACATAAAGTGGGAGTTGTCACAGTTGCTCTTTGCTGATGACACTGTGCTCTTGGGAGATTCTGAAGAGAAGTTGCAGAGATTGGTGGATGAATTTGGTAGGGTATGCAAAAGAAGAAAATTAAAAGTGAATACAGGAAAGATTAAGGTTATGAGGATAACAAAAAGATTAGGTGATGAAGATTGGATATCAGATTGGAGGGAGAGAGTATGGAGGAGGTGAATGTATTCAGATATTTGGGAGTGGACGTGTCAGCGGATGGGTCTATGAAAGATGAGGTGAATCATAGAATTGATGGGGGAAAAGGGTGAGTGGTGCACTTAGGAGTCTCTGGAGACAAAGAACTTTGTCCTTGGAGGCAAAGAGGGGAATGTTTTGAGAGTATAGTTTTACCAAACGCTCTTTATATGGGTGTGAAGCATGGGTGATGAATGTTGCAGCGAGGAGAAGGCTGGAGGCAGGGGGAGATGTCATGTCTGAGGGCAATGTGTGGTGTGAATATAATGCAGAGAATTCGTAGTTTGGAAGTTAGGAGGAGGTGCGCGATTACCAAAACTGTTGTCCAGAGGGCTGAGGAAGGGTTGTTGAGGTGGTTCGGACATGTAGAGAGAATGGAGCGAAACAGAGTGACTTCAAGAGTGTATCAGTCTGTAGTGGAAGGAAGGCGGGGTAGGGGTCGGCCTAGGAAATGTTGGAGGGAGGGGGTAAGGAGGTTTTGTGTGCGAGGGGCTTGGACTTCCAGCAGGCATGCGTTGAGCGTGTTTGATAGGAGTGAATGGAGACAAATGGTTTTTAATACTTGACGTGCTGTTGGAGTGTGAGCAAAGTAACATTTATGAAGGGGTTCAGGGAAACCGGCAGGCCGGACTTGAGTCCTGGAGATGGGAAGTACAGTGCCTGCACTCTGAAGGAGGGGTGTTAATGTTGCAGTTTAAAAACTGTAGTGTAAAGCACCCTTCTGGCAAGACAGTGATGGAGTGAATAATGGTGAAAGTTTTTCTTTTTCGGGCCACCCTGCCTTGGTGGGAATCGGCCAGTGTGATAATATAAAAATATATATATTCAGTATTGCAATAACTTCGCTACAAACATTATTTAACATAAAATAAGCAACAACAAAAAACTCTAGACCTGCCCAACTTGGGCAAAGATGCGCTCTATTACGTTAATCTGACAGGACACGCTAGGGCGCTAAACCAGTGTGGTGTGAGAATAGAACACATGTAAACAAGGCAGATGATGAGATGGTCATAGAATATTATATTACAGTATAATACAATATTCTCTGGCCATTTCATCATCTACTTCACTATATATTAATGGTACATGTGAAATAAAACACAAAACACTACAGAAAATATACACCTTGAGGTGGTGTGAACCTTCGTAACAGATACCGACAACCTGGCTTAGAAAGATACTTGAGCAAACACCAGGACATAAATATTTATTAGAGAACGTTTCGGTCCTGGAAGCCTGATCACATGTCTTTCTAAACTATACCTTGAGGTGTATGCCCTTCGTTGTATATCCCTTCTTTAGGGATTAGAGTATTCTTGACTGGAGGTGAACAGGAGATATGTAATCCTAATGACCCTCATGTAGTTAATAAGGTTAAGTCCCATTAACCAAACCATCAACTGCACACCTCTTCAATTCCCAGAATTGTGTCTACATTTAACAATGCAAAAGAAAATAGAAACATTGTTATATTAGTTCTGTGTACTTGACCGATTATATCAGTTCTGTGTACTTGACCGATTATATCAGTTCTGTGTACTTGACCCATTATATCAGTTCTGTGTACTTGACCGATTATATCAGTTCTGTGTACTTGACCCATTATATCAGTTCTGTGTACTTGACCGATTATATCAGTTCTGTGTACTTGACCGATTATATCAGTTCTGTGTACTTGACCGATTATATCAGTTCTGTGTACTTGACCGATTATATCAGTTCTGTGTACTTGACCGATTATATCAGTTCTGTGTACTGACCGATTATATCAGTTCTGTGTACTTGACCGATTATATCAGTTCTGTGTACTTGACCGATTATATCAGTTCTGTGTACTTGACCGATTATATCAGTTCTGTGTACTTGACCGATTATATCAGTTCTGTGTACTTGACCGATAATATCAGTTCTGTGTACTTGACCGATTATATCAGTTCTGTGTACTTGACCGATTATAAACAGTTCTGTGTACTTGACCGATTATATCAGTTCTGTGTACTTGACCGATTATATCAGTTCTGTGTACTGACCGATTATATCAGTTCTGTGTACTTGACCGATTATATCAGTTCTGTGTACTTGACCGATTATATCAGTTCTGTGTACTTGACCGATTATAGCTATGAAGCACAACGGTAAACATATACCCTACTCAAGCATTTAACATAATATCATCCAAATTTTTAAAAAAGGGGGCAAAGGGACAAAATTTTTCGGACTGGAAAGAAATTTATCTTTTATTACTTAAATAGTCGATTACCGTCTCTAACATAAAAAACCACGTTTAGAACTTCCCATTTGTACTAAATTTTCTTTCTATTTATAGCTTTATCAAGCCATGACGTGACAAACAATACACAAGCAAACGTAATAGTAATAGTAGTAGTAGTAGTAGCAAGCAGTATAGTAGTAGTATCAGTATAGTAGTGGTGTGGTAGTAGTATAGTAGTAGTAGTATAGTAGTAGTACAGAGTAAGTATAGTATTAGTAGTATTAGTAAGTAATAGTCAGTAGTATAGCAGTAGTAGTAGTAGTAATAGTATAGTAGCAGCTCAGCAGCAGTAGTAGCATAGTACTGTAGTAGTAATAGTAGAGTAGTAGTAGTAGAGAAGCAGCAGTATAAGTAGTA